CTGACAAGTCATTTGAAGTAGGGACTAGGACTTCTCTCCTCTCTTGGTTAAGGGAGTATCCCTCCATGGGCGATGTGTCTGCAAGGTCTTTTTGTGCACCAGGATTACATCCTGGTTCCACTGTCTCAGGTTCCCTCATACTGCTCAGTCCTTCTAGCTGAGACCCATGTTCAGGGAGTCTGAGTCAGTCCCATGCTGGATTCCCAGCTATCAGTCTGGGGGCCTGTTAGCTCCTCCTTGTTCATGTCAGTTGTCTCTATGTGTTTCTGCAACCTGGTCTTGTCCTCTCTCTCTACATCTGGATTCTAGTTCGACTCAGTGTTTAGTTATGGGTGTTTGCTTCTGTTCCCAACAGGTACTAGATGAGGGTTCCATGATGGTGGATAAGTTAGTTGTTGATCTCATTATCAGGGAAGGGCATTAATGGTAGCCTTTCCATTGTTGCTGAAATTGTTAGTTGGAGTCAGTCTTGTAGGTCTCTAGACCTTTCTTTAGGCTCAGTTTTCTCCTCAAACCAATAATGGCTCCCTCTTTTATGTTCTCTCATTATCTCTCTCTCTCATCTTCTATTCCTATCCTGACTCAATCTTCCTAGTCACACGTGCTTTCCTCTCCTTCCCTTCTCTTTCTCCTAGTTCCTTCTCCATTCACTGTCCCCCCACACACACTTCCCATGTGCTCTGGGGGACTTGTCCCTTCCCCCTTCTGTAAGGGACCATATATGAATCTCTTAGAATACACCTTGTATCTATCCTAGTTCCTCTGGCGGTATGAATTATAGGCCGGTGATCCTTTGCTCTAGGTCTAAAATCCATATATGAGTGAGTACATACCATGTTCCTCTTTTTTTGACTGTGTTACCTCATTCAGGATGGTTTCTTCAAGTGCCATCCACTTGCCAGCAAATTTCAAGATTCCATTATTTTTTTCTGCAGAGTAGTATTCCATTGTATAGATGTGCCACATCTTCTTTTATCCATTCTTCAATTGAGAGGCATCTAGGTTGCTTCCAGGTTCTTGCTATTATAAATAATGCTGCTACGAACATAGTTGAGCACATGTCTTTGCTGCATGGATGTGGATCACTTGGGTATATGCCTAAGAGGGGGATTGCCGGGTCCTGTGGCAAACTAATTCCCATTTTCCTGAGGAACCGCCATACTGATCTCCAAAATGACTGTACGAGTTTGCACTCCCACCAGCAGTGGAGGAGTGTACCCCTTACTCCACATCCTCTCCAGCATAAGTTGTCATTGGTGTTTCTAATTTTAGCCATTCTGGCAGGAGTAAGATGGTATTTCAAAGTTGTTTTGATTTGCATAGGAAACATAGATTTTAAGGAGAAGAATATTAGATCATGAACGAACTTACCTTATTAAGATAATCTAAAACACCAAATAATGTATCTTAATCTATTATGCACATTTTAAAATGGCAGATACATTTAATTATTTATACAGTCAGATCTGACAATTTCTTAAGAAGTATATATGAAGAGATTTAGGATATTACTAGCAGACTGCTTTTTTTTTTTGTATAAAATATTGCCTCTTCTCTATCAAAGATCAGAATGTGAATTAGGAAAACATTAAGAATGTGATCCAAAATAAAAAAGTTCAGATGTTGCAGACCAACTTTTTCCAATGAAACAGACCAGAACACCAATGCTGACATGAGGGCGTGACCTTTTCTACATAGAGGACTTTGTGTTTGCATACAAAGACATTGCTCAACCCACATCTGGCTCCTAGAGCCAAAATCTACCCTCACTGGAGCAACTCCCACTGAAATATACGGACAGAAAGAATAGGGAAATAAATTTTTAAAAAAGTCAGTTGTTTGTTCTGTAGACCTTCAGTGTGTGAGAGAGTCATGTTAGAACTCTACTTCTACTCACTGTTAATGAGAACAGAGAGGTCAAGACAAAAAAAAGATTTTGGCAGGAATTAAGAGCTGAAGTATCTCATCTTGCATCATCTTATAAAATTCTCTAATTCTGGGTCCCTCCCCAAAATAAGGTCTTATCTCTGTACTTTCTTAAATCAGAACCCAAAAGAATCCATTCCTTTGGTAGCTAAAATGCTCAGCTATAAGCAATGCTTGCATGCAGATATTCTTTTGTGTTACTTTCTATTTAGTAGTCTATGTCCTTAGTTTTGCATAGAATATATGTTTCCTGATAAAAATAAAATTATATTTTTACTTCAAGTTGCTACTGCAAGGAGAAAGCAACATAAGTATCACATAAGAAACTTATTCACAGGGCTGATTTTTACCTCCTAAATCTACTATACCCACACTGGGATTAGCTATGATTTAGTATGAATTACATCACCACGGTTAGGATCTGAATACCAGAAGGCAACTGGAAAAAGTTCCTTAACAATTCAAGTACTTTGAGCATTAGCAGTTAAGCATCAGGATTCAATAATACAATGCTCATTATCTTTTACTAGCTACTACCCAGGCAAATATTCAAAGCTGCAATGTAATAATAACTACAATGCTAGTGTCTACTTCATATGTTTGATATGAAGATTAAATGAATAACTGTGCAGAGCAAGGTAACTGTTTAGCATATATTCAATTAATTTTAGATAATCATTTTCTAAAATATAGACTATTAGTTTTCCATGTCATAACTAGGCTTATGACAATAGAAAAAAAAAGCTGATTTTTTTCTTTTATAATGAATAATTTATTCTGTAACTTAGTAGCAAAGAACTCCATTTTTTTCTTCTCATATCCCAGCCTGGCTGACTTAATCCTTCACTTTTGTGAAGCACTAATTCTACTTATCACTTATACATAAAACCAAAACAAACAAATCAGATTCAATTCCTAAAGTTATGGAATTATTGAGCTGAACTTATATACTGCTCTCAGCGTATATACCACACAAAAGTTTAATTTTCATAGATATCCATCATTTTGAATATATAGATCATATTTTATAAATTTAAACACTGAAATTCAGAAAGTATATATATTTTAATCAAGTTATTAAGCTAGTCAGAAAATTATCAGCTTGTTAGCATTCTACCTATTAAAATGGTAGGTGTGTTGACCTGAGGGTTTAAATTTGTGGTAGAGTGCCTGTCTAGCATATACAAGATCCTGGGTTCAGTCACTTCATACTACAATAAAATAAGTGAGGAGTTTCTGAATATGACTTGAGAGGCAGAGAAAGAAATGACAGAAACAGAGACAGAAGAGGCAGATATATCTCCATTAGTTTGAGGAGAGGCTGGTTTAAGAGTTCCAAGCCAGCCAGGGCTAAATAGTGAAAAAACAAACAAACAAACAAACAAAAAAACAGAGTATCAGTCTTCTCATTATAGGTAACATGTGGTTCAGTGGTAAAGTTAGGACTTGTACTTGGAAGACAGAATTTGGAATTCTTTTTCTACCATTTAATATCTTTGTGATATACTAACCTATATATAAAGAGTTATGAGGATTAAGGCAACATTAACTTTGAAGATACTAAATATCATAAACATTCAACATTGTTGCATTTCAAATTATAAACTTCTCAGTCAAATTCATTTCTATATGTTAGTACAAGCACATATATTATTGTATAATAACTCGATAGTTTAGAAGCATTTAAAATATGTATTGGTAAACTCTAAAGAATATTTTAAACCAAGGAGCTATAAAAGTTCCTTTAAAATAGTCCATTATAAGGATTATGGGATAATATAATAAAAATACATTGTATGCATATATGAAAGTCTCAAAGAATTTTTTAAAATACTATTTTTAAAAATTCCCTTAATTAATTTAACAATATTCCTTAGAAATGAAGATAAATCTGAATTTCTAGATTTATGTGTGCTAAACAATTTATAAATACCAACTCACTTAACTTTGAGAAGAAGCCTTGAGAAGAAACCAAGTCAATGAAGTGAGAGGAACTGCCCACAGCACAGTGCAGCTCAGAAACAGCTCCAGATACTGGGCCCATATCCAGATTACATTAACTCTACTATTTATGCTCTTGTCACTATGTAAGGTTGGCTCTTCAGTTTTTTGCCTTGTGGTCCATAAAAAGCCAGGTATTTACTCATATAATGTCAAAGAATAACTGCTTTTGTGTAGTATAAAGCTAATGTCAGATAATATGTTAAGGTACCATAAGATTAGATCGCCTGCAAATAGAAGATAATTTAATTTGGTATTTCCCCTCCACCTCCACAAGAATAAAGTCTGTCACCCACTCATTAAAAAAATAGATGTAGGACTGCTGAGATGTTCAATGGGTTGAGACGCTGTCCACTATGCCTAATGACTTGAGTTCAATTTCCTGGATCCATACCAATAGAGATCCAATTTCCATAAGTTGTCCTCTGACCTTCACATTGCATGAGTGCAATGGCAGCATCCCACAGTAAGAAAGCAAAACAAAAACAACAACAACAATAAACAGTATATGCAAATTTTAGACTTTTATAATTGAAAAAAGTAAATTTAGAATATGTTTCCTTAATCTGCAGCCACACATTAATAAATAAGGTATTCCACTAGAAATGCCTGAAAGGGAACCCTTTTTTTGTACATAGAATCCTTCATTAATATTATTTTTTTCAGGAAACTTAGAGAAACTATTACAAACCCAGGTCCTCTTAAAGAACTAAACAGAAAACAAAAGTTTTATAATCCTGACTTTAAATATAATAGACAAGTGACAGAATTAAGGTCTATAAAACCTTTTATAAATTTATGACACAATGGTTTGCCCCTTTAATTAAATGACTGATGTTCTACAATGGAAACCTTAATTCATTTTTACTCATATATATATTATATACATACATATATATATGTACCCACACACACACACACACACACACATATATATATATATATGCACACACATATATGTAATTTTAGCCATCCATATCCCCTACTCTCTTCCTCTGACTCCTCCTAGTTCCCCAGTACATTTTTTCCTTACTAAAATACAATGGACTTCACCTCTACCCTCTGCTGCTTACCTGTTGCAGAGGATACTAAGAGATCCATGTGGACTGCAGTGACATGGCAGGCAGACACCGACAGTGTGATTCAGGTAAAAGCCCTCTTTGCAGGTTTCACAGTGAAGACCCTGATAACCCGGATGACACTCACACTGCCCTGATGTCTGGTTGCAGAGCTTCACATCCAAGCTTCCAACCTCAGAACAGTTACATATATACTCTGAAAAGGGAAGAAAGGAGCCATTATGAAACCCTTGTTTTTTTTAATAAACGTTTGTGAGGTCAGATAAAATTAACTCTGGTTTTGACTTCCTATATTATTCAGTTTACTTAAATTGGGAAATGTATACAGCAGAGTACAGAACATGTGTATAGTTTAATTATAAAGCTGACATTCTCAATTTCCTCTCCAGTACTTTTCATTGCTTACTTCTTTACCCTAGCTGCCCCGTCTCTTCTCTCCCCCCGTGTGCGTGTGCGTGTGCGTGTGTGTGTGTGTGTGTGTGTGTGTGTGTGTTCTGAACTAAAGCCTCCAAAAGCTGCCTTATCTACATGGCTCTTGGAGTACATGCTGGAAATGACAGCATGTTAAATAATAAATCACTCTCCTGTGAGCAGCAAAGGCCTGAGTCTCAGGGGACTAAGTCCAGTAAGCTATACATATAAAACTGTGTCATAGCTGGAATCAGAAGTTTAATGTTTTAACAAGGAAATGAAGAATAAAAACTCAAATGAGAGGGAAGTAAACAATAAGCCCAGAGATAGAAGTACTAGTTCACCCTAATGAGAAATCAATTCCAAGTCAAGTATCTTTTCTAAATTAAAATATTAGAACATAAGCATTTTCTTAGGTAGATTTCAAACAGGTTTCTTTTCTTTCTTTTTTTCTTTGAATGAAAATGGTTTAGAAGGCTCCAGTTTTAGCCTTGTAATGCAAATACTTGTTTAGGAGTCTTTGCTAGTATTTCTACTTATTTTAGCAAGGGGAAAATATTTTTAACAATATATTAACATAGGACTTTGCAAGCTTGTACAAAAAAAATGTTGTGTATATTCTACAGACCAGCTTCTTTCATTCCCAAATAGGGATAAAGTCGGTGAAAGAAAAAACTATATTTGTGAATAGTTAAGGCACTATGTAAAATAGAATTGTAGTGATAAAAATTTAACTTGTGAAAGTAATCTTAACATTATTCTTGATCATTTAAGAAAAAAAAAAATCAGACAGCAGCAAATCCAGAGTCTTACATAGAAAGTTATAAAGGTGTTTAATTTTTTATTCTAGAAAGAGAAATAGGTTTCAAAATAACATATCCATATAAGTGAAAACAAAAATTTCCATACAAAATCCCCATTTGGACTGACTCAGACCCTCTGAATATGGGTCTCAGCTAGAAGGACTGAGCAGTCTAAGGGACCTCAGACAATGGAACCAGGATGTATTCCTGGTGCACAAAAGGATCTTGTGGACACATCTCCCTTAACCTAGAGAGAGGAGAGAAGTCTTAGTCCCTACTTCAAATGACTTGTCAGATTTACATGACCCCACCTGGATGGCATAACCCTACATGTGGAATGGGGGTGGGGGGGTGGGAGGGGAGGGTGGTCAGGGTGCATGTGAGGGGGGAGAGAAGGTAAGAGGGAGGGAGGAAGAGGGAACTGGGATTGATATATAAAATAAAAATAATAATTAAAAAAATCCCCATTTGGACAACTCCCATGCTTTATCAGTTCCTAAGCTTTGATATCAGTCCCATTTCCTTTGAATCTGTTGACATAATGAATATACTAGTTGATAATTTGTTTTCTTTTGAATATTTCAAGCATGGGTGGCAAACTATAAAACCTAATAGGATGTTCAAATATCTTTAGTTCCAAGATTAGGGAAAGAACTCAGCTTTACCTCAGAATCAGGATTCTTATTTTTGGCCTGAGGATAATAACTAGTGAAACATTTTCCTAGCATGTGAAAGGCCCTTGATGCAAGTCACAGTAAACACACTCACACTTATCCATGCATGCACATACTCATATACTTTGGGTTTGTGGGTAGTCTTTTTTTAATATAATGAAGCCACATTCAGTAATTTGCAAACGTGTCATGGCAAGACCTCTGCTGGACCAAAATTGACTAAAACAAAATAAAATAACATCTCTCTTCTGGAATTTGACAGAAATTGAACATATATCCAATACTTCTTGCTGGACCAAGTTTCATTACCTGTTATACTAAACAAGTAATGCTGGACTGAACAGAAATGTCTTAAAAAAAAAAAAAAAGTGAAGAAGCCCTACAATAAATACTGCTATTTTAATATTTCTTTACTAATAAAGTTTTTACTATTAAAAATGAATTCACATTTTCAATAAATTATATATAGTTAGCACTATCTTATTTTTTAGGACATATTTTCTTTTTAAATTATTTTATTTTATTATTTTATATATGTGGGTGTTTTGTTTGCATGTATGTCTGTGTACCATACATGTGCCTGGTACCTGCTGAGGTGAAAGAGTTTAGATCCCTTGGAATTGGAATTACAGATAGGTGTGTGTCTCCATGAGGGTGCTAGGAAATCAAACCTGATCTTCTGGAAGAGCAGCCAGTGCTCTTAACTACTGAGTTATCTCTTAGTCCCAATTAGCAGTATTTTTTTTAATCTAACCTAAAAATCTATATATTTTAAAAACTAAGTATTTTTAATAGAGTTCTAATGGATAAACCTTCAATGTCAAAATTACTGGCAATTTATTATATCTAGGGTAAATCCAATGTTTTCATTATTCCCTAAAAATACTCATCAAGCCTATCTCTGAATCTTTGTTCATTTTGTGCTACATTTTGGGAGGTTCTCTCACACAATCAAATTACAACTTCTATTCCAAGAAAAAGCTGAAATTTACTTTATCACTATGAAACAAAATACTACACATTTTCTGTAGCTCTCATATGAGAGAAATTTAAGGACAGCAAGGCAAAGAGACTGTAGAGACAGTGAGTAAAAGTTTAAAATCCTGTCTTCTTACTTAATAACTGTACAGTCTTAGGCAAGTTACTCTACTTTGCTTTCCTTTTTTCATCTGTAAATAATGCAGAATAATAGCATTTGTATTATAGCTCCAAAATGTGGCCAGAAGTACTGTTATAACTAATGTAAGAGTTGGAAAAGAGTGGAAAGTGATACCACACAAAATAGCACAAATGTAATTTAGATGTTAGATTGACAGGACACAGCTTTGTTATGGCCTATGGTTAAGATCATTTTTGGACAATATCTGGAAAACAGAAGTAGTACTGTTACAATTGCCTATATATAATGGGTTATACACAGTACTGATATATATGCCTATGATATAGTGAAGAGACTAGAAGGATTTAAGACAGAATGATGTGAAATATCATTCTGTAAATATGTTTTTCTTACTGGTTAATGAATAAAGCCCTGTTGGCCAATAGGAAAGCAAGATAAGTGGGACTAGGAGACAAGGAGGATTCTGGGAGATGCAGTAGAAAGGAGTCAAGATGTAGGAGATGAGAGAAGTAAGATATCCAGACCCTTTCTCCAGTAAGATAAGACCACGAGGAAACACTTAGATTGATAGAAATGGGTTAATATTTAAGACAGAGCTAGCCAATAAGAAATGCTAGTAACCAGCCAACAGCTTTATAACTAATAACGTCTCTATTATTTTGGGACTGACATGGAAACTGTTCATAACGACAGAGTTTCAAGAAGAATGAATATATATATATATATATATATATATATATATATATATATATATATATATTGATTAGATACCCTTAGTTTTATGGTATACTAACAGTATACCATACTAACAGTAACAAAGTGAGTGACAAATATTTGAGCTCAAAAGACCAACTCAATGATAGAAAAGAGAATGATGCAATATCATGATAATCTCCCAAAAATAAATAAGGAAAGGAAGCTAGAGAAAATGTGAACAGGTATAGGCATCTTTTAAATTATAGCTGAGAATTTTGGAATCTATCTCAGAGATGGTCCTCAAATAAAATTGGCACATGCCAAATGAAGGATGAGCAGATGCAATAAATATGAAACATTGTGAACAAGGTAATTTAGTAACTTGTAAGAAAAATCTCAGACCTTTTAAAATTCTAGGCATTCATGTGGAACCACGGGATGTAATGCAGAAATTGTGCAATCCCCTTAATGGAAAATTCTATGAAAATGAAAAAAAAAAAAAAAAAAAAAAGAAATTCCAGCTGATAAAGTAATAGGAAGGACCTGTAGCCTTGAACAACAGAGCAAGTACTGACTTTTAATGAGGGAGAATCACAGACATCAGAGTAACACAAAGGAGCTATGACATGATTAATGGTAAGTTACCAGTGCACACTAATGGAAATGAAATAACAGAAGCTAATCACAGACAGTATGAAAAGCTCATTCAGCTTCCTTGGAGTGAATATGGAATACTGTTTGTCAAATGGGTAGCTAGACCTTGAAATTCTAGGGGAAAACTCTACAGAGACATAATTAGAAGGAGTAATACAAGTGCTCACAGACAGACTACAATATTAGGCAACTTTTTGTTGTCTGTTTTTTTTTTTTTTTTTTTAAGAACAATGTTATATAGAAGTTTGAACCCCATATAAAAACAAAAACAAAACAAAACCCCCAAATCTAGTACCAAGCTGCTTTAAGTGTTTGAGAATAGAAATGTAAAGGCCCAGGAAGTAGATCCCTTGAGGACTTGAGTTTATGAAATGATTTTGATGTAAAAGTATCATGGGAATCACTCAATCTACACTCAACATCACATTACTTGAAATGTTCCTCAGCAAAAAGATCAAGAGATAAATCTCTTTGGCTTTCAGGGGAGATTTTTCTTGCAGACCCCATCTCTTCTTCATATGCAAATACCTATTCTGGAAGGACATTATCCTCTTTAACATATAACTGACCTTTAGGGGCTTCCTACATACTGGGCATGTTTTTCTCTCTAACTTTTATCATCTGTGTCTTTGCTCAGCTGGGAGTGGTGCCACATGCCTACAATCCAAGCTGTTTAGGAGGATTATGAGTCTGAGGCCAACCTGGGCAACTTAGTGAGACTTTGTCTCAAAATAGTAAAAAGGCTCCGGTTGATATAGCTCATGAAAGGGGATTTTGCCTAGAGTGCTTGAGGTTCTGAGTTCAGTCACCAGGATCACACATAGAGAATTTTCAGTGT